AACTCTGTATTTTCTATTTACCTAAAGAACTTTTGGTATTGATCCTGTAAAAAATGCATCTCTAATTGCCATAATAATAAATAGGTAGAAATATTGTAGAAAAATTGTTTCTACTTCTTATTGCTGTCCATGGCTAGGAATTCTTGGCCTTCCCGGCTTCTGGTTTTCTGGCTGAGAAGGCCATTAAATGCTGGCCTATTTTTTGGTGGCCGGAAAACCCTCTTTCCTGCCAAGCCTGGCCATGCCATGCTTTTGACCGCGCTCCTGATACAAGGAAGTAATTTTTTTCCCTCAGTGTTCACCCCAGTTACTACTGCTCCACCATCTAGTTCTTAGTCTGCATCCAGAGATGGCATCCTGCTAGACTAAAATTCATCTTACAGCCTCTGAAGTGAAGATCGCCCTCATAAGCCCAGAACCCGGCAAAGCAAAAACTTGCAGACGTCTCACCTGTGTTCAAAAAGGACGACCCTACCCTGGCTGCAAATTCTACACCGATTTTGCTCCTCTGCATCATTTCCAAAGTTATGAAGCGCTGCATTTTTAACCACTGTTACCACCACTTTCCTATATCTTCAGCATGGTTTCCAGGGAGGTAAATCTAGAGTAACAAAACTATTGCAGTACACAAATGGACAACCAAGTCTTCCTTACATCATTTTTTTAAACAATCATGCCTCAGCATTTTGACAAACACTTAAACTTAATATAATACACATTTTCACAGAATGTCTTTTAATTGTACATAAAGGCGACGCAAAACTCTTATCTTCTAAATTTCAAAAAAAACAACCTAAGCTTTTGAATCAAACGGATGGAACCTACAGCCACCTGATTGGCTAGCCAGGAATTAATCAAATAAAATCCTTGAAGTAAGTACCAAAGTACTAAAAGACGGTAGGAAGAAATAATTAAGGAGGAGAAACTTAAGGAGGAAAGCAAGCCTACTACCAACCACAACCATAAAAATGATAAAGAAAACAGGACAACCTTTAAGAAACTGAAGGGTCACTTGCAAAAGAACACTTCTTCGAAGAATCTCAAATTCTCTACACTTACGAACTACCCAGCAGACAATGAAGTTAAAAAAAAAACAGAAAGCTGGGCTCCGTTTTGTTGAAGCTCCAACCAGGTTTCATCACCTCCATCTCAAAATAGAAAAAAAAAACTTGAGAAGGAAATGTCAACAGCAAGCCGTATCAATTCCTAATGAACTTTAAGCTGTTGCTGCAAAGCTTAGGAAACAGTATGATAAACTCACGTCGAAGCTTCATAATGTTAAAGGGAATAAAAATTGTGCAGTCAAATGAAACATGAATGATAACAAAAATAGCAGTGAAGACAAGCAAATTAAATGAACAATGTTCACAGTGTTACAGTTGACGTGAGAAAATTAGCATTTGAGGTTATAAACAGAGCTTGAAGCACATAGCTTGTAACGTTTTGAGGCAATTTATTGTTCTTTCCACATAATGTGTGAAATAAAAATTAACATTTAGCTATTTCCACGGACCTTAACAAAAACGTTGACAGAATCTCCTAACCATTTTTCGCCCAGAATAAGGCTGCCTCTTTGATCCCCTAAGAAAATTATCCTGGGCACAAAAAGGTAGCAAATGCCAAGTGCATCATATATTATGTTTAAATATGTTATCCCTTCTGGGATAAAGGATCTTCCACTGAAATCCCGAAAACGTGACTACAAATTGTTGTCTCATGCTGACGACAATCCTGTCCTGACAGAAGTAGGAATTTGATAAAGATTAGTTTCTTCCAGAGCTTAAGTTTAGCATAGGTTGAACTCGGAAAGCATGTCACCCGCAAATAATCACAAACACTAAATGCCACAATTACCATGCACCTTTAAAGAGCAACTGCAAGCACTTGAGGATCGACAGTCACACAATTTGGAACAACACAAAAGAATTTAAGCTAATTAATAAATCGTTAAAGATTTAGCGATCCCACAATGGGGGAGAGGCCCGGGAAACCTATCGGAGAAAGGAAAAAAAACGAAATATCTACCAGTGCAGTACAACGCGTCCCCAAAATTAACACAGGATTTGGGTCATGTCCTGCACATATTTTTTGTGGGTGTCTTGTTTTTAACATCCTCCCAGGAAGGTATTTTTTTGCGCTAGAATTGAATTGAAATGTGAACTGCCGTTTTGAAACACCCTGCAGCAAGTCATTTTTTACCTCATCATTTCCCTTAGACCCATAAGTTGCAATCAAGTGGCCCAATTTCACACAGGAAAATAGACAGGTGATACTAGGTATTACAGGTATATAACAAGCTTACCCTAGAAAATTTGTTTGTTAAAAAAAGTTTCCTCAGTAGTTTCTCGGCAAACCAAATCGAATCCTTGCTCAAAATTGACTTTACCTGGTCAAAAAATGTCTACTCGTCTAGCACTTAAAAGTTAGAAATACACTTTATTTTATTTTCCCCTGGACAACACCGTGGAAACGGCAAAGACAAGTAAAATTGTCTCGAGTATGGCAAAAGTTAAAGAAGGAAGCATGGTGGAAGTTAACTGGAATTTATGCTGCAAATCCATGTATTCCCGCTAAAATTATCGCCTTGGCTGGTAAGTGTTATTGTTTTCATTCTGAAATTACATGAAAAAGAAAGGCCATTTTACTACTGAGAGCAACAACAACAGCTTTCTGCTACAAGGTTCTTCATTGTTTTTAGTATTAATATATAATCACACATGCTATGATTGATTAATATTACGCCAGTTTCTTCATTTGTACATTACCACAAAAGGGCAATTTCAGGACTTAAAATAATTTTCAGACTTGGGTGGCAGTCACCTTACCCGGCAAAAAAATTTTAGCTCAGCCAAGACCGCCTTTTTGACACTTCAAAATATAGCAAATGAAAAAAAAAAAGACTCTAAGGTAGCAGCCAAAGAAGCAGAAATATAAGGTCACCTATTGAATAGACGTTGCGAAAGTTAAATGAAGATTTTTTAGCTTTAAATAGCTCAATACACTTGCAAATCACAAAAAATACAATAGATGTAGAGTCACAAGATTGTTGTCGAAAGCGCAACTCATGATGATGGACATAACCTGTAAATTTTATTATCTCATTGTCAAAACAGCCTGTACAAAAGAGCTTTTTAGAGCTTTTTCAGTTTGTGTTGCTTATCAAACTGTTACCACTTTCTGCAGTTAAAAGGCCCAAAAAACACATACATGGCAGACTGAATCTGTGAATAATTACAATAAACTATCACAACTACGTCCCCACTATCTGAACGCCTGGAACAGGCTAAACAATCACCCAACTGGTCTTAATATTCAGTGTCTTATGATTAAATTTCCTTCACATCCCGAGCTTGACTTGGAACGGGTTCAAACATCCTGCACTGGTGAACAAATGAAGCTAACATGTGAAGAAAAGGACCTTGTCCAATGGCCACGGTCAAGTAAACGAAGCAACAAAGAGGACACTACTGGACACCAACGAAAGCGTGGTAAAAAATCCTGCAGTGTTGATGACCTTCCAAGCACTTTGAAACAAACCAGTGAGATCGGGCAATCTCCAGTGACTACTAAGCTGCGCTCTTCTCCACTACCCTCAATAGAGGGTAACAGTTCAGCTGGAAGGTCCAAGCAACTTGCCGATTGCCAACCTGAAAAGCATCTCAGCGCTGTCCTTGAGACTGATACAGGTAACCAACCAACACGTTCCGATAACTTCACAGCCCGGTAATTTACTGACACCTTTCGCTCTACCAGAGATTGAACATCCAACATCAAGTGTTTCCTCTAGAGAGTTTTGTTCCAACATCTCCTGGAGCAGAAATTTTCAAGGACGATGACTTTTTAGCAGGAAATAGCCACATGAAATGACAGTAGTAATCAAAGCTTACCACCTCTGGCCATAACATGCGCATCAGATGCTGCAGACACCACTACAAATACAACAACATATTCTGCTCTGCAGCCGGTTAAAACCAGCTATAATTTTTTGGCTTCAGTGCCATCTTTTGATGTTCTTAACACTCTTCTGGGAGGTGCCAACCTTAGCTACATAAATAGGGGCCTAGGTACCCCTCTGTTTCCCACCCAACCCCCTCCGTTCACACTAAGTGAAAATTAAAGTGCAATAATATATAGATTTAGCCAGGGCTAAAAGCGAAGCTCCCGTTAATAAATTCATAATTTAAACATTCATGTGACTTTTGAGGCAAAGGCTAAGTGATTTTAGAGAAAAATAATTTGACAGTCCAAGAGTGAAACAAATTTTACATCGAGTTAATAGTCTTAATTATACACCCAAAAATAGCAATCATGTTCGATCACAGTAGATTAGGCCTGGAAAGTGTATTGTATTTGCATTAACTGTTGCATCATAATGTGGCATTCACCAGTCTCTCCAACATTGCTCCGTTTGAGAGACTAATAATTGGACAACCCCGAAATATAATACTATGAAGGAATGGCGAAGCAGACTATTTTTCCCAAAACTTCGTGTACACATTAAGGACAACAACAACTTGCCAGATGGTAAGTTTCATCAATTTTTATTTCCATTTTCTAGCAAATTTCCAGACCTTAACTTCGCCCCATGTGTTCTCTATATTTAAGCATGTTATGAAATCTGAACGTGACACTATAAACAGTGAGCCTGGGTTACCTTTGATGAAAGCACACCCTTCCTTTGCACAGCAAATTATAGCATTGACCACATTATAAAACGTTTTCATGAACAGAATTCCATAATGCCGGGACTTTTCAGTTAGAAAAATCTGGTCCTATGTGATATGCAGGGTAATAATTATGGGCTTTTAATGAAAACGATGAAAAAATTCCCAAAATCACCTTTTCGGCCAGCCGGACGGGTTCTCACTTTTGACAGGCACCAAATTTGCAGTGCGATTAAAAGAGTTACCATTTACGCCTCAACATGATAGAGAATTTCTTATGTTTAGGTTTTATTCCCTTTATTTATAAAACTGTTCATGGTTTTGTTGTGTAATCTTTAAAAATGAGTGATAATTTATGCGCGGCGTTTTGAGTATTCCTGAATGCGATGTTTATGTTCGCCTCGAAACAACCGGTGCAGCGATAAAAATTGCAAGAGGGACTACTAACAATCAATAAAATAAATATAATTCGATGAAACATGTACAGAGACAATAATTTTCATTCACGAAGACAAGCATTGAGAGTAAAGTGTCTCTGAAAATCATGAGTCAGGTAAGCATAAGCTTGTTTATGTTTTAAGCCGGCTTCCCGGTGTTTGCGCTTTTTCAAGATGAACTCAAGGCAAGAAAATCGTTCAGAGCTTTCTGTTTACAGCCAAAATCATAACTAAATATTCTTCGGAACCTTTTCTTTGAATCTGTGGTCAAAAAAATGTCAAAAGGCTTTTTAAACCTGATACTACTGTAGGTTAGTGCTCGTGTATAAACTTAAGCCGCATAAACAATACGCTCAACTTCAGGAAACCGAAAAAAAAAAACACATCAAAGACAATAACTGCTCAGGCTTACCAGTCGAGATGCTGCTTCTGTAGGTCATCAAGTGTTCCAGAATCGCTTCAGACTTTTCAACCCTCTTACGCCTCAAGCAAGGGCAAGTGAGTAAGCTCATTTTTGAAAACGATGCCATCCGAAATCGGATTTCCAATGACTTTGACAAGCGGTGCATTTGTCAACAAAAAGCACAATAAACAAACCAGCCATGAATTACAGAACAATCTTGATAGCAGCTGTATTTCATTTTATACGGCAAGTGGAAAAAGACAGTTTAAAACATTACAAGATGACACAAAACTCTGTCAGCTTCAGCTATCAGTAAGCAAGTTTCCAGACGCTGCATAAATTTTCCGCATGAGCTCACCTGTCAAATTTTGACCAATCAGAACATAAAAATTGTACGTAGAGCGTGATCAACGCGTGACAGTGAGAAAAGTCAAAAACGATTGCCTTCCCTGCATGTAAAGGCCGGTTGAATTTTCGCGTCTGAGGACAGTTCGAAATCAAAATTTAAAAAGTGCGCCTCATGAACACGACTTATTTCATACCTGCATTTTAAAAAAATTGAACTTGAGCCTGCGATCATTTGAAAAGTAGCAACTTGTCAGCGGATAACTTCAAAAAACACTCGAACTCAGTGGGTCGATACCTGAGCCCACGATACGGTCAGGCGATACTGGTCAGCAGAAACACTGTTTTGACAGCTGTCAATTAATCAAAACATGGATTACAATATCAGCTTGCAGGCTTTCAAACTAGCTAGAAAGTGTAAGATTAAACATTGGTATGCCTGTGGTGCGGACGGAAGGTCGGGTGGTCGATGTCAGTCACGTGATTGCGAATTTTCTCGGATGGATAGATTTTCTAAGCTATGGGTGATATCAATACATAGAAAAATGAGCCCGCCATACAGTCAGGTGATGGTGGTCAGCGTATACTCTAGTTTGACAGCCGTCAATTAACCTTCATTGGAGTGGCGAATATTCGAATTAACAGACTACGAGTGTGAGTAAGACATATCCCTCCGGCTTGTAGTGACAGCTGTCAACTGACCTTAATTTAGCTTGCCAATATAACTTTAAACAACTGTCAGCCGACTGACAGCCCTGCCCGGGGTAGTTTCGTTTTTATGTTGAATTGTTAAGTGTGACATATTATATCAGCTTACATGTAGGGGCAAAACGACTGGTCTTTGATGTGAGCCCGCGAGATGGTCATGTGATAATTGTCAGCGGATGTCTGATTTTGACAGCTGTCAATCTAATTGTACTTATACGGATGGCTTACAAACCTGAAAGGCTAGTCAAGTTGTGCAAGATCTATTGTGACATTTGACATCGGCTTACATGAAGTGTGTGTACGGGCGTACGCTACGTCATAACCAAATTTTCTCGGATGGATAGTTTACCAAATTTTGTTACCCATGGTGCTCCGCTGCGCGCGCTTCGCGCGCGGGAGCTCCGCTATTAAATACTCTTTCGTTGGTTCTCTCGAATCAACATGTCATTTTGAACGAACTTGAAGCTGTTGTGGCCAAAGCGCAGTCAATTATGAATTCACGTCCTGCTGATGTCTTTTGGAGGCGCTGGCTGCGGGAATACGTTCTGACGTTACAGAAACATCATAAGTGGTTCTCCTTTTGTCGTGATCTGAAGGAGGATGACTTGGTCTTGATTGTAGATGAGAATATCCCTCGAGGTCAGTAGCGTTTAGGTCGTGTCGTTCTGGTCCACAAGGCGAACGACGGCCACGTACAATCTGCAGTCATCAAGACGAGGAGCGGCCACCTGACCAGGCCTATTTCCAAACTTTTCATTGTCCACATGAGTATCGAATTTTGTAGGCTATATGTAACAAACTTCCTTGTTTTTGATCCCAAGTAGTTTGATATGGGTGGGAATGTTAAGGACAGTTACCACTCTCTCGGGACCTTTCCAATCAGTGCCTTTTCATAACTTATGGTCAGTTTGTGGTTCCCTTGAGAGCCTGTAGAATTTGTATATTTCATTGCTAATTTTGTGCACCGCGTCGTTGTCAGTTGTTATTGCGTCTCGCTGGTGCAGCATCCAAGCGTTCTGCCTTTGCCGTTTGTCTTTCTCCGCATTGCTACACAATCGGTAAGATTTGTACTTCCTAGTGCCTTTTTTCTTCATAAGTACGTTTTCCTTATCGTTATTTTTCTATTAATTTCTTTTTAGCAAACCTCTATTTGTCACCGGGAGAAGCGTTTGCAAAGCAGCGATTTTGATCCTTGTACAGCGATATGTGTATCAATAAAAAATAGGTTACGCGGCTATCTGTAACAGGTGAAGTAAGAATTTATTTGATCTTATTGATAGATCCATTTAGAACAGCTTTGTGATTCATAAAGAATCCCACTCCATGAGACTATGAGAGTGAAAGTGTTTTGGACTGAGCTTGCCAAGCAGCTGATAGGCAATTTTTCTTCACAAAGGAAACGTGAAAGGCCCTCCGATGAACAAGTATTACTCGCAAGACATGTTGAAAGACATTTTCCTGATTTTCTCCCACTTAATGAGAAAGGGGAAGAAAGAGAGAAGATGTAAAGTTTGCTATGAGCAGGGTAAAGTAAAGAAGACAAGCTACTTCTACCCAGATTGTGACGTTGGCCTTTGTGCTGCACCTTGCTTTAGACTCTACCATGTACCAAGGACTGTTTAAAGTGTCTTAAAACTATGGGAGGTATTCCGGCCATGCATACGGTAGCGTTTTGTAGTCAAAGCTTGTCAATTACTAATACTAAGTTGCTTTTGCAATTCTGGTGTATTTTTGTATATTATGTGACCTCTCATTTTGAATGACCAAAACAAATTTAAAATGTTAATCTCTTTGTTTTAGGGTACAAGAGCTATTTTTCCTAATTAAGTACAAAATTCTACACAGTAGTGAGGACAACTGTGTTATGCATTTTTGTGACTGTGCTTATTTAATAACTTTGACATATGATGACAGATGTCAATTAACATCAACCATTTTTTGGAACACTAGAAGTTTGGTGGTAACAACATTAAGGTATCTGCAAAGCAAATTTTGCACATTTTCGCACCATTTTTAGTGGTTGTTTTATGGATAATATCTATATGTCACTACATTGACAGTATTCCTCAGTTCTTGAGGAACTAGAATATATCAAAATAACCTATGTTATGTCACCCAAAAGGTGTTAATTTAATTACCCCCTGGGGTGGCACGGAAAGAGAAAAATCAAAATTTCAGAAGAATCCTTAAGAGTTATTGTTAAAAAAGAAATGTAACACAAATAAGGACGTAAGATAGAATAATTCTGTGTTTGACCACGACACAGCTCCAATTAATCCAGCCTCTAGGGCACAATTTGCTATTTTGTAATTTGACCCATATTTTGACATCAATAACTCAGCTGTACGGCAATTCTAACCTTTAGTCAAACACAGATCTGTTCATTAACATGCTGTTTGAGTATTTGCCAAATTTCACGAAGTAATAATGATCCATTCCTCCAAAAAACTGGTTCCCGTAAGTCAAGGTAAATCGGTCACGCGGTAATTAACGCTTTTCCAGTGTGAAAAAGCTTATTTTCTTCTCAAAATCAACTTTTTTTCCTCGATACTACCATCACAGACCTTATTGCCCGCCATTTTGAATCACCGCTGTGTAAAATGCTCGTGGAAGCCTAAGAAAATGCCAAATGACCTCTCTATAGCCCCCTTGGATTTTGATACGTGACCAGTTGCTAGGTGTGACGCATTTCCGGAAGATGCGTTACTCAGTGTCAGCTTTAATGCAGTGAAGCGCGCCGAAGTATGAAGATTGAAGAAGAGTTTTATTCAAAATTGAAAAGAATTGCTTCTGTAAAGTGAAAGAAATTGGCAGAAAAACAGACCAGAGGATTAGGGGCCAAGAAAACGTTTTACTCTCCCGGCAAAATTGTCAGAAAATATCAGGTGAGAAGACACACCGATGTAATGTAAATTTAAAACAATAATAAGCCCTGGAAAACGGAGTGTATTTCAAGAACATAACAAATTTTGACAAGAAGCAAGTAATATTAGTCATCACAGCTTTAACAGAAGCAAGAAAAATCAAGTTGGACACACAGCGGCTGTAGTTTGTCAATGAATCCAAGCAGTGAATAGATTTTGTTCAGCGCATCAATAGAACTTGATGCTGGAAAGAGGAGTCAAATTGCGCTCCTGCCGTCCTTTTCCTTAGTAACGGAAATGAAAATTTTTCTTTAACTTCCGGTAAATCAGTCAACTTTTGAGTAGATTTTCTCTTAAATGCCAAGGTATATTCAAAAAAGAACACCAGATATGCATATTACATCATCTGAACTTACTGTAGAAAGATTTTGAGGGCAAATAAAATGTTGAAAATTTGCCTGTGCAAATACCTTAAACCTGAATATTTTACAGGTTTTTCTTCCTTTTGCATTTTAAACCTCATCAAAATTCCAAAATTAATTTGGGCTGCAAAGGGTTAAAACATTCTACTTTGAGCTAATACTGGAATATTTACAACCACAGTTACAAGCACAAGGAGAGGCGCCAGCCCTTTTGTTGTGCAAATTTGGTGATGATGAGGTTATGTGAAATTGCCTAGGATAAAAGTCGCTCGACAATTCAACAGATAAGGGAGAAGCGACAACACATTCCATGTATACAAGATGTAGATGACCCTGCCATTCAGTTGTACACCCAGACTGGTACATTAAAGTAGGGTGGTGTTGAGCTTCCCATCTACAGGTGTGCCTGGGGGCCAATGTCATTGGAGTCATTCCATTTACACATTGATTAAGAATGGCAAATACACAAAATCTTTTACTTATAACATAATTATTTCCTAATCGTCATAAGTAATCACCTCCATTACAAACAATTCTTGAGGAAAGAGATATGAAGAGATGTATGCCGATGTATTACATTCTAACTACTGTCTATGTTTCTTAAAAACTTATACTGAAAGAGAAAGCCGTCTTCTACAATGATATAAGACCACCTTATACAAAAATAACATCATTCTTTTGGCATTCACTTATAAGCTTGAATTTTTTACATGTATGTTATGTATGTTATGTGGACACGTTATGTCCACTTCCAGTGCTATGTCCTCCAAGGCATTGCAGGCTGGAATGAAGACAGGGCTTCAGCAGCCTTGATGGATAGGGGTGGAAATTCACAAACAAGCAGCTACTCTTCTCCAGTAAAGCATGAAATCAACTACTTGAGTAAAATGGTGAATTGTGAAGAACTGCAAAAGAACTTTGACCATCCTAGCAAGTACATAAGTAACATGGGTTGTTTATCTTGCAAATGTTTTACATGGAGTTATTTATTAAGTATTAACAGGTTTAAGTTAACAGATAAATGGAACCGTGTCCACTGAGTATGTCCCATGTATGGGCAATCTATGAGCTGCCGATTTCACTCGTCACTAAGGGTATAATAGTTGGAAGGTTGCAGTTCCAAAAAACCTCATAAAACCCACATACCGGTTTGATCCAGATGAACCTGATGATCTGACTGATGAGGTGACTGACGACTCCCTAGAAGTCCACCATGGTCAAACGTCTGAGCATGCGCGAAGATTTGCTTGGTGATCGCTACATTTGATTTGGAAAATCTATACACATGTCGCTACATCTTCTTGCGGGCAAGAACAGAGAAATTTTCTTTGTATTTCAAGAAAGTTCACTGGCGATGAATAGGAAGAAGAAGAAGAACGTATAAAAGGAAATGTAAGTATGAGTAAACTTGCCTTTGACAATCATAATATTCCCCAAGTGCACTTATGCTCTTGTTGATCAAAATGGTGGCACACATTTGTGGCCGCTAAAAGTATAGCTCAAGTTTAAAAAGTTTTAAATTGTTTAAGCTTTCCGTAATGTTTTTATACTAACACTGGCTTGAACGTAATTTGAATGGTTGGTATTTTTATTTAATACAAACCATATCTTTTGGGCTCTGGTTCGTTCTGCAAAATAAAAAATTTAGTAAATTGTCTGGTTGTCTTTTTTTTGTGATGAAACTGTTCTTTTATGACTGACGACCTTAATTTTAAGCTTGTTCTTATCTCTTCACATCAAATATATTATCTCGCTCAGGGTTTAAGTCTGTATTAATAACGAACAAAATGTATCGATAATGGATAATTACTTTAGATCTCATTCATAAAATTCAATGACCACATCACATGAGTTTAGTAAACATAATCGAGCTCAAAAAAGATGTATGAACATCTATAGTGTCGGTGTTATTTATTGTTTTAGGCCAGGCACATTGTGAAGGGAAAAAGGTTTTTGTTTTAGCAGATGTTTAATAACCACACATAAGTTCAATAATCACAGCAGCATAAGATTATTTTTGACTGTTTGACATTGCAAATTGACCAGACATCAGTGTACATGCTGTCATTTCAACACTATTGCTTATTCTTCATGTTTGCCCACATTCATGACTAGGCTTCTGTTTTCATTACGCTGTCCATTTAATGCTCGCAGCTTGGTCTTAGTTTTACAGTTTAAATTACTAGCAATGGGGGGGGGGGGGGGGGG